GGAGGGGGAAAGCATCGCTGCCATGCATTTTATATCCGATGGATGGCGTGGCGCGTGGTGGGCGGGGAGGGCGGAGGTGGAAGGAATCAATGGGTGCGTGTGTTGCCGTGCGTGTCTCATGTGGTCATCAGTGTCGCTAGCTAGCTAGCTAGCTAGCTACGGTTGGTGTGCCGATCTCTCCTCCTAGCTGGCAGGCAGGCAGGCAGGCAGGCAGGCTGGTGGGCAGGTAGCTGCTGCTGGCTGGCTGCGTGTACCTTACCCTTTTCCATGTACCCTTCCAGACCGATTGATGGCTCTATCCATCCATCCATACATACATCCAAGGTTCATTGCTCTACCGACCGGCCCACCTTCCGAGGCTAGCCAGGCCAGGCCTTGCTCTCTGAGTCAGCCGCTACGCTGCATGTGTGCACGTCAGTCACTTCACTGTGCTGTGCTGTGTGGATGGAATGAGTGGATGGGGGGTAGAGTGTAGCTAGAGGGGGGGCACTTGCACTTGTTACATTCCGTGGCGTACGTGCAGACTTCGATCATCGAGCTTAATGAATGCATTGTCATTGTCATGTCCAATCGTTGGTTGATCTCTCCACACAACACACACACACACACACACATCACCGTGATGTCACCCCAACAGACAGACCAGGAAGACCTACTCAGAGCGCACCGAACCGAACCGACGACATAACAAAGCTCCTCGCACAAAATCGACAGAAAACGCACAGTCTCCAGTGAGGGCAGTGCAGTGTGTATCATACAAAGACACACCAACACCCATAAACCAGTCCCAGCCCTCCCGCACACAGCAACCAGCTATGGCTTGAGTGGCTTGAGTGTCGTCGTGCGTGGCAGTGGCTCCCCATCAGCAGCTGTCCCGGCGCCTCCATGCCCTCCTCGGAGCTTGCCATCACCACCACCCGCAGCACCACCCTTGCTGCCGTGCTCCTCCGCCAGATGACTCACCACGGACAACTTGTCAGCCAGCTCAGCCGCGGCCGGCGTCCCCTCCATCTCCTTTGCCACGATGATCTCCATCGTCCGTGTCAGCAGCTCGATGACAGCCCAGACCTTGGCGTCATCCTTGGCAGCACGAGGAGGTGGCGGAGGCTTGAAAGCTGCACCAGCGGCCTTGACTATGCGGGTCGCATTCTCGGTCACGGCGGGGATGAGAACGAAGGAAAGCAACCCAATGCACACCATCCAAAGGAGCAGTCGGTCACACACATCCATGATATGGAATGACGCAGTACCAGAGCCAGTGGAGATTACCGACGGGACGAGAGCGAGAGTGTGCGGAGAGCGAGAGTGGAGACCTTCGCCAATTCCTTCGCCCATCGCGAGCTCAAGCTTGCAGGACATTCCGTGAAACCGCTCTCTCTCCCGGCTCAGATCCGTGCTGCAGGATATCGTGATGGACGCGAGGTGGACTGCGTTGGTGTCCCAGACGGTTGACCGCCTGAAGAAATGCGAATACGCGTTCTGGTTCACCTCACCTGTCGACTGGAAGGCGCTGGGCCTCATCAACTACCCTGACATCGTCAAGAAACCCATGGATCTCGGCACCGTGTCGGTCAGTGAGTCGCTGGCGAAGAGAGAGGGAGAGGGAGAGAGATGAATGGGCGGGTGCGCCAACCACTGTGGCGGTGACGTGTTGTGTTGGTTCGTTGGTGTGCCTGCAGAAGAAGCTGCACCAGGGTCACTACCGTGACCCGAATGAGGTGTGGAGCGACCTCTACCTCATCTGGAGCAACTGCCAGCTCTACAATGCCGAGGGATCGGTAAGTACCGAAGGCACAACACACGAAGGTCTGTGAGCACTGCTCTGTGTCATGGTGTCATACACACACATACAGGCGGTGCACAAGGCGTCCAAAAGGATGGAGCGCTTCACTCGCGAAATCGAAAACGCCCTCAACGCAGGACACCTGCCGCACGGTCGGTACACAGAGGACCACCCAGACAACGAAACACACCACCATCTCTCTCTCTCTCTCCCCTCTGTTGCCTCTGCGGCCATGCCATACGTGCCGTCTGTGCAGTGGTGCCTGACCCGCCGCACGAGGAGTTGACGGACGACTATGTGCCTCTCCCCGCCCCGCCCCCCGCCACCAGCAAGGGCAGGCCCAAGAAGACGGCCAAGAAAAAATACGCCAAGCCCACGGGCGACGACGACTCGCCCGACAACAGAAATATGGCAGACGACGACAGCGAGTGAGTGAGTCATGTGTGTGAGGGGACGACGGGAGGCGACGAGGGAGGGAGGACGCACACGGCTTCGTGTGTGTGTGTGTGTCAGTTTGGAGGGTGTGATGGAGATGATAGAGAGCACCAGCTGTCCCTCGCGCACCGAGGCGCCGCTGGCCGACCGATACAAGCTGTGCAGACGGCTCACAAAGCTCCACGGAACCAACCTGGGCAAGGTGCGTGTGTTGCATTGCTCCCACGCACGGCACAAGGGGGTCGATCGACTTGACGGGTGGTGTGTGTGTTGTGTCTGTGTGTCTGTGTGCCAGGTCGTACGGTTCTGCAGCATCTATGCCCCAGAGTGCCTCATCACTGTACGTCTTCAGGAGAGAGAACCGATGCGTCACGCGTGTCGTCATAAATGTGTGACGGTGCGTGCCTCCTTCTCTGTCTGTCTGTCTGTCTGTGTCAGCAAACAGAGACTCAGGCGTCGCTGGACATCGACCTCATGCCGCCACAGGCCTACAGAAACGTCAAACAGTGAGCGACTTACACCGCCGTACTGAACCCCTCCTGTCCTGGCTGACATCAGCTCATTTCTGTGTTGTGTGTGTTGGCCGCTCAAACAGGCTGACCAAGACATTATTGCGTGAGCAGGCTGAGCACCGTGCCCTCCAACAGCAGCAACAGCAGCAGCAGCAGACGCCGTCGGTGGCGTCCCTGGGGATGCGGTCCCAGCAGGGCTTCCCGCAGTGGGGAATGGGCCTGCAGAGATGGGCGTGAACGAAAGGCGGGCTGGGGACGGCATGCAAAGAGAGAGATGCGATTGTGTGTACATGTGGCAAGTGGATCGCTTCTGTCTTTTTGTGTGCGTGGAGTCAGATGGTCGATAGGATGAGACTGCATGTTCACGTCCGTCACGGTCCGTGTGAGTGTGCGACCAGCACGCGCAGACAAGTGCAGACAAATATCAGAATCCAAGATGAAAATCGCCGCTTTCGGTGAAGGGTTCGCTTTTCGGCACTATCAGCCAGTCGTGATATTCAAGCTTCGAAAATTGAGGGTATCCGTCCAAACCCTAAACCCTAAACCCTGACGTTCTGCCGGAGTGTTCTTTGTGGACGAGCGAGTCTGGAGGCTGATGTTTGGTGCATGAATAGAGCTCGGTGAAAGCTCCACCCTGACCCAAGCACATCTTTTTCGGTCGGCTGGGCGAGGAGAAAAGGGCAAGCAAAGCGCAGTCACGATTCTTCATTTAGGACGAACGGGAGTATGATAGGTTAAGCTCCACTGACTGCAGCGCCTGGTTAGCTCAGTCGGTAGAGTGTTCGGCTCTTAACCGAATGGTCATGGGTTCGAGCCCCATATCAGGCTTTTCGTCCGCTCCAGCCCGTGGCTTTGGAAGTTGATGAAGTCTGTTTTCTCTTCAGATCTGTGCACTGACGTCCTTCCCACACCAAATACCGGCCTCCAGCGTCGCTGTAAGGCCTGTTCGAGAGCGGAGAAGGGTTAAACGAGCGAGATCTACGAGACAATGCTCTCGATGCGTGTGTTGTCACCTTCCGGCTTATTTCACTGTCGGTCGGTGTGCTGGCGTGTTGAGAGGCCCACCCTATTGCGTCCCATCAGGTGCGGTGCTGGTCAGGCAGGCGGAGCGAACCGACACGTCCTTCATCGGCCACATCTGCTGTGTGCTGTCTGTGTGGTGTCCCTGGTGCATTGATTGTAGGTGCGGCTGGGTGCTTCTGTGTGGTGCTGGTGCTCGGGTTCGTCGAGGTGCCTCGGGGTGAGAGCTCTCTCCCAACGTCAGCCGCCCTGCAGGATTGAGGCGAAGATGGGCAGCTGTGGTGCACGTGGTGTGTTGCCGTTGTGATGGCGAAACGACATTACTTGGGCCAAGAGCCTCAGGAGGTGAGGCAGAAGTGAGTCAAGATACAGAAGCCGCAAACAGGGCAAAGACACTTGGGATGGGATGGCTGCCGTCTCCTCTCTGATCGTCTTTGTGTCAGGAAGATGTGATGATGGTCAGCGGTGATCCGCCGATGGCCTCATCTGATGCAGTGCTGAAGAGTGCGCGCGACTTGTTCGACCTCATCAACACGGGGTGCGGAAAGCCTCGAGGCCGAGATCTCCGCCACTGTGGCCGACACCTGCTGTCTGGTAGCGTCGGCTGGTGATCCAGGCGCTCGATTCCGCGCCCTGCAGCAGCTGGCCCAGCTGACAACTCTCACCTCACTCAGCGATGGGTCAATAGCCACCAAGGCACTGAGCGGCATCCCATTGAAGCGCCAGCTTGCAAACTCCCGACGAGGCAGAGAGGCCATCGGGCGGCCTCACCATCCGCTGCAAATGCTGGGGGTCCGGCCAACACTCAGTGTGGTGTTGCTGATTGAGACCTTTGCATGGCACTCTGACTGACGAATCAATTTTGATCCTTGCCCTTTGCTTGGCATCATGTAGCGTTGAGCAATACATGATGCCGGCAGACACACCGCATACCCGAGAGTCCCACAGATGCACTCTCACACCCCCGCGTACACACACACCCGCACACACATATGGTGTCTGTCTGTCGTTTGAAAGGCCAGTCATGGAGAAGGCAGCCAGGCAGGCAGGAGCTACACAATGTGACAGACGGACAGATACAGACAGACGCACAGAGATACAGACATACATTTGACACATTCGTATATAATGTATGGACACACATACAAATATATGTAATGGGTTCCCCGCGAGTAGTCGCTGGCCTCCTTTGCAATGCGGCCGCAGAGGAAGAAGGCGCACGTGGCCGTCGTGCCCTTCCCTCAATCGCCCCTACAGACCAGTCAGCCCATCACACACGCCACGCCACGCCACGCACGCAGCCAGCCAGTTGCCTAATCAACCAACTAAACCGTCCATCCACCATGCACCCCACCCCACCCCATGTCACGCCACGCAGTCCAATCGGTCAGTGATACATACTATGGCCTTCCTCCTTCACCACCATGCCGCCCAAACAGGTGGGTGCATCGTTGATCGATCAACCAACTGCAGCCAGCCGGCAAGCTACCCATCCCTGTGTGTGTGTGTATGTGGTGGATCGTGGACGACGGATCGACCATCATATATTCATTTCTCGCCAAGGATGTCCTTGGCCTTGCTATCTATGGCCAGCTTGCCGCCCACAGGCGCACCCACGCCCACTCTGACAACACAACACAGCAAACCACAGCACACCCCATGAGAAGGTTGATTTCCTTCCCCTCTGTGTCCTCTGCTCACCCGGTGCCAACCGTGCCTGCGCCGGCGTCCGCACTGCAACCGAACGACACCACAACAAAGCGCACATTGGAGAGTGTGTGTGTCGGTGCGTATGGCGTGTCCGTTCCTTACGGTTTGAGGTCCATGATTTGCTCCTCCAGCCGCGCCCAGTCCTCCGGCTTGGGGGTCGTCAACTGACGATAAATGGACAGATATCAACCCAACCACACAGTCATTATGCTTATGCAGGTAGCACTCGCTGTGTTATATATTGTCTCTCTCGCTGGACTGACTGACCTCCTTGTCTACGTTCCAAACGGCGATGATGCCCTCCGACGTGCCGCTCACTAAACGACGGCCTGATGTGACGTGACGCCACACAACGAAGGCGTGTCAACTAATTAATGGCCTGTGTGTGGGTGTGTGTTCTGACTGACCGTCCGGTGACCAGCAGAGGTGGTTCATGGCGGACTCGCCAGAGTTGACCCGTACATGGGGAGACTACACACACACACACACACACGCGCGCGCCAGGTGACTGTGCCTGTGGTGTGGATTGAGGCGATAGATACCCCCTCACCCACCTCTAGGTCTTTGTTGAGGTCCCACACGTCGAGATTGCCCTCACCGTCAACCGAAGCAAACACTGCAGGATGGTGTGGGTGCCTGCAGCCACCACACACACACACATCCATCCATCCGTCCATCTATCTGTGTGAGCGTCAGGGCGTGCCGTACCATTTAGCGTCGTATACGTAGTCCTCGGACACCTCGAATGAGTGCAGGC